ACCACTCAGTGTATATATATATATATATATATATGCATAATAGTAATGGATATAAATACGGAAGCACTCAAGTGATACAAATACAGTAGTAAAAAACAATGAGAAATGGTGAATTTGTTAGTAGTACAGAATATTATAACAAAAAGTACAAACGGGAAGCGAATACGTTGTGCATTTGTATTTTGCGTACGACCCTTTTGTTGTAAACAGAGCATTACACTTTTTTTTTCATGCTGTCGCACAATTTATCAATGTAAGTTTGGGCAATATTATTCCAAGTGTCTCGTGTTACTCCCCACAATTCCGTCAAATTGATTAGTCGTTTATTGTCCTACATAGTACTATACAGTCCCAAGAATGTTAGTATCGAGACTTTATACAGACCAAGTTACGGCTGTGAGTGATCTATCCTTCTCTTTAATATCAAGATATCATTTCACTTTATTTTCTGAAAGCTTGGTATCATTGTCTTACTGGAAGATCAATCCCCACCCAATTAGAAATGTTCCTGGGGGAATAGTAAAATGGATCAAAATCAGCCTATACTTTTCAGCAGTCTGGGTGCCATAAATTTTCGATAGATCACAGACATTGTTAAGTGAGATGCAGCCCCAAACTTTTACTGTCTTCTACCGTGCTTCACTGTTATACATTGACTATGATACTGTTCTACTCTCTGATAAACGAATTTTCTCGGACTGATCCATAAAGAGCACGCGTCTCCAGTTTTTTCGTTTCACTGTTTGTGGTATAATACCCATTTCAACATCTTGGTGTAATTATTTCTTCTCAGCGCATTTTTCGAACAGCTAACACATCAGTTAAAAACACATCGCGTTGAGTTTTTGATTTATACACACTTGTAATGTGGTAAATAGAGTTCAGGTTGTATGGATGACAATTAATCACATATCGTCATATGGCTGTACTCTGGTGCAGTTCTTTTTTCACACGAGAAAGGATGACATTCCTGTATAATTCCTGTAGTAATTTTTTATACCGTTTTTCCTCACCTTTTTCATGATTCTCACCAATATTGTATATATTTACAGAAATGTACTAGTTCCTGTACTGATTTGATTTAAAAGGCTACCGGAATCTCACTCTATCAGTGTAGAATATATTCTTAGAAGAATTATAAATGATTTAAATACATATTTGACGATAAATATCACTTTCATATTTAGTTTCTTTTGTTATTTTCTTATATTCCCCTTCAAATTCGAAGGGTCGGTCAAGTGTGGCTTAATGGTTACAGTGCAAGGCTGCTGATAGAAAGATCCAAGGTTCGAGCTGTGATATGCCGCTGAACTTGTTCAGCACTTTCAGGTTTTGGGGAGTTATTACTGTTACAATTCTATTATTCTGTTAAGAGAAACATAATTATTCTCAGCAGTTGTTGTTGACTATCTGGCTGCCTTTCCTCTGGTCGGCAGTAATTGTTAGCTATGTCTGAACACTAGTGGGGGTTTCTGATGTAGTTATATAGTGGGGGTCTCTGACGTGGCCTATAGACCACGTGTCGCATTAGATGTCGTTAAATTGAAAATACCATATACAAAAATACTTTAATTAAAAACCCTTCAGCTTCATGCAACATTGTATAACTTAAGTGAGATTTTGATGTTAACGTACTTTCAGCGTGAAAACAACTTCACTGACTTCAGTATGCAGAAACGTTCGGTTATCTGCCAAAAAAACTCAAGCGTCACTTTGCAGAAAACAAACAATGTTTCTTCTTGAAATCATTAAAACTAAAAACTTACTTTAAAAGCTTCAAAATAGCATGAGCTTGATTGACATCAGAGGGCACTGTACGAAAAAAATATCCGTACTTTTCTTTGTTGCTCAGTGTAGGGCTCGTCGACTGGTAACTAACCTGTGAAAGTTAAACACATTTTACATCAAATCTCCAAACAAAAGTAGCTAAACACGGTTGTATATGAATAATTTTATCAAGAAAGTCATTTCACTATAACCGCATAGCTTTAAAACTATATTGTTACTTCACAGGAACCATAATTGTTACGATCGGTTGAATTGTTAAACATGAAAGGGGCAAATAATGCCACCTGGACGTTCTTGTATAAAAACAGTTGTTGAAATTATTCTAAAGTACGACCACAACTTCAAATCAAACCAAATAATTTGTACGTACCTAATCTAAGCATTATATTACACTTACACCTGACTCTATTTCCATCAGTCATTTGATCGGTAAATTACACGAGTTTCCTAGTTAACATCGCAAATTGCTTACATCTTTTGAGTTTTTTTTTTTCCAAAACATAATGCATTTATGTTATCCATAGACGCTTAATAAATCTTGTTTTTGACAACCAGAAGCATAAAGTGATTACACTTAAACGATAAGCCCCAAGTCGTACTATCATTAACTGTCGGCACAAGATGTGGGCATAGGTGCCCCCCCCCCATTTTCAATCTTTAATGACGTAACCCTTTGAATGTGGAATAGCAAATACGTATAGCTATCATGGGAAATTGATATTTCAGTTTTGAATTCAATAACTACGGTTAACACAGTAAATAAGGTTCCCAAATCGTCGGTGCCCCCTCAAATTCAAACATGTTCTGCCTTCTATGGATGTGGGTGTAGTCATAACCATTATTGGTTACAAGTATGTTTTTAGTGTACAGAGAGTGTTACACAGACAATAAGTTGACAGCTGACAGTGAACAGCGGCATGATTTGGAAAATTGTGAGTTTAAGCACCTTCATGAGTCCCAACCCCTCACTGTATTTATGTTGTAAATTTACTGGTTCCTTACTTTCGTCTGATAGATACTGATAAGACTAGAAATTCCTACCACTTTTGGGTACTATTACTGCAATTATCTAACTCAAGGATTATATCTTCGGAAGATCTTTGATCTTGTATAGTTATGATAGTTTTTGTATTCCTTTCACGATGTATAATGTATTTATCTAATCGTCACTGTTCTGTGGGGCTGACTTTGTGTCCCACTTACAGTTGGTTTTCTTTGTGTTTTGCATATACATTTACACTATCCTACCAAAAGTCATGGAACAGACCTATGATTGCAGGAAAAGGCGTGTGACGACGAAATATACAAATAGTTTGGCTTATAAAAGTGATCAGCAGTTCGCTCGAAAGTCATTTCGAACTTGTACGCCAAACGATGAGTACACTGAAAGAGCTAACGAGCTAACAGGGTTTCAGAGGGGAAGGATAGTTGGATTTCATTTGGGGAAAATGTCTGCACGTGCTATTGCGCAACAATTAAACATTCTCAGGTCGACAATTAACAACGTGCTGAAGAAATGGAAGTCCACAGCTGTCAATGAACCCAAGAAACGACCAGGTAGGCGTAAAATACTGACTGACAGGAGCCGACATGCCTTGAGAAGGCTGGTTACCTCAACTCGCCATCAGACTCTAGAGAATCTGTGTTTGCAGATGCGAGCAGCCACAGGCAATCCTATAAGTGTTTCCAAGACACGTCGAGAGCTGTAGTACACGAATATTCCCGGAAGAGCTGCAGCCCACAAGCCGTTCATAACAAAAACAAATGCACACCGTCGATTGGCATGGGGCATGGCATACAGAACCTGGACCGTGAATCAATGAAAATCGGTCCTGTGGAGCGACAAGTCACGCTACACGCTCTTCAAGTCTGATGGACGTGTTTAGGTATGGAGGATGCCTGGAGAACGCTTATTATCTGAGTGTGTTGTCCCAACAGTGAAGTGGCGGTATCATGGTCTGGGGGTGCTTCTCATGGTGTTGAGTAGGTTCACCGGTCGCAGTGCATGGATCCATGAATGCTGGGTCCTACATTGGTGTTCTGAACAGTTCTGTGTGTCCTACATTGTGGCAATTGTTTGGTACCGGCACTTACACCTTCCAACATGATAACTCTCCATGTCACAAAGCAAGGATTGTGAACGCGCGGTTTGAAGATAATAACATCGGAACATTGCAGCGGCCAGCAGAGAGACCCGACATCAACCCGATAGAACATCTTTGGGATGAACTGGAACGCAGAATTAGGACAAGGCCAAGACGGCCCTCTTCAGTAATAGAACTTACTAATGCTTTAAAGGAGGAGTGGATCACAATACTACGAGAAATTAGTAGACCGTCTTACACGACGCATTGAAACAAAAGCGAGCCAACACGTTATTAATCTCTTGAAATAAACATATGATTTATTCATAACTACCCGTGTGTCATGACTTTTGGTAGGATAGTGTATATGTGATATGCATTATATACTTGTTTATGTATTATGTAGACTATACAAATGAAACTTGTAGTCTAATACCTGAGGAACTTTGAACAGACGAAGTATGTTGGCTAGTTGGATGGACACAGAGCTGGACTGCCCACCAATTATTCCAACCACACGATCGAAGTTTCCATCCCTGAACTCGGGCTTCGAGCCGTCTTGGCACATAAATTGTTGTTCATGACTGTTGCTTCTTGCTATAAAGCCTTTAATGAAATCCAAGCTCTGTTCTAGCGCATACGTGGTACTGTCACAGCTGTCCAGAGCGATAACGCCAAGCTTAATCCCCGGTAACAGCTTTGGATTTTCATTGATTTTCTTGAGAGTGAAGAGAAGAGCCTCTAATTGTTGTAGTCCTTCTTCCTGTTTATTCACAAATTTATGGAAATTAGTACGTTAAAAAGTCGGTGAACAATTAGTAAATCATAGCTAATAATAATTTAATTGTTTTAAACCTTTTAATATATCAGGTTAGCGTAGTAACAGTAAATATGAACCTATATATCATCTTCCACTACAAGATTCAGTCTGTAGCTAATAATATTTTAATTGTTTTAAACATTTTAATATATATCAGGCTGGCGAAGTAACAGTAAAAATTAACCTATATATCATCTTCAACTACAAGATTCAGTCTGATTGTGATACGTTTTTTACATTTTCTTTTTCATGTCCGTCAACAGTTATTGTAACTTAGTTCTTAAACAGTAAAAAATTAAAGAATTGAAAGATACTTTGAGACATCCGTAGCGTTAATGGTTATTTGTCAGTTAAACCAGTATACGAGCTTATATACTGTTGCTTTTTCACTGGAGTCTACCGTATAACAGCACGGAAGTTGATAGATCTAAATGTAATGATAATTGTGAGGAAAAATACAACTCAATAAATCACTCTTATAATAAATTACCTGTAATCGTCCACACTCGTGGCTGCGGTTGCTTCGCTCGTGAATCGGAAATAAAGCTCCTAGCATGATGTCCCCAGAAATGTTCATGCTTCTGTAGACCGGCCATGTTATTGGAGCACAGATACGGGAAGTGTTTAAAAAAACAACGAAAAAGAACAGCTTAACATTACTTTCCGGCCACATGATCTTCCAGTGGAATCTGCAAGAATTAAAGAGCATAAAAAGTTTGAAATGAACTAAATCAATGTAGATATTCATTGCAATAGCGAGAACAAAGATTGATTTTTAATCTAAATATTCGAAGAACTTTTCTTTAAGTAAAATGGAATATAAACATCCAAACTTGATAACTCTTACGAATAAAATGCGAAAAATCTTTTGAGTTGAGTTTATTCAGTGTAGTCGATATATAGACTGTGTAATTGGTTTCACCTACTTTGGTTTGATATTATTTCGACTTTCGTGTTTACATGCACTCACCAGGGCTCAAGGGTTCAAAAATATACTTGAGACGCATTAAAGCTCGGAACTCCACATCTTCAACAAAAAAAAAAGAAAGAAAGAAAGAGGAAAGTGGAGTCCATAAAGTAAAGTAAACTATTTGATATACTAACTTTCTTTTATTCAAAATATTACCCTATTTTTCTCAGTTTTGACTTCTTTAGACACTACAGGAGCACATAAACTTGTGGTGTATAGATGGACTCCTAAATTAGAAATTACAAATTAAAAGGTACAGTACCAATTAACTCAGAATCTTGAAAACGTTGTATTGCTACAGTTAATAATTTTCATAGATGTACCAGAATTATTTCTTTATTTAGCAGTTACCGTTTTATGATATTTAAAATTTTGCGCAGAGTTGCAAAAAAGACTAGAAAGAAGGCAACTAGTCAACAGAACCCATCGTCAACTCTTGAAATACATTTGTCTGGATGAACAGTGAGAATGGACCGCCATTCTTATAGTGCAATAACGCACGTTTCTTGATACTATGGGACGCGAACTGTGAATCTCCGGATTCGCAATCTCGGCACGATAACCACTAGGCCACACCCATCCCAATTACAGTTCTATCTTGTAGGTTTCAATCCTCAAAAATGCATTCATTATTTCTATATTTATGAAACAGACTTTAAAGTGTGTTAACCAAGAATGAAAAAGGCAACTTAGAGATCTTTTGTACCACTTTCACGACTCACGGATCACTCTGCAGTGATTACGTGGCCTTTTAATAATATGAGACACTCAGCTGCAAGGTAGGATTATTCTCGTTGATTATCAGGTCATGTTTCTCAGCTTCCAGTGATTAATACATGAATGTAAACGCTGACTAAACTTAAATTGGATATTCTAAGCTCGATTAATATGTGTTCCAATGTACAAAGAAATTGAATAAGTAGCTGAACGCATAAATTAGGAGATTTTATGAATGTATTAAGTGGTTTTATTTTATCCAGCGTCTTTTTAACATTTTGTAAATAAAAACACACACCAGGCAAAAAATAGACATCTAGAAAAAAAGGATTTTGATCTTCATTACATACTTGTAGATAATGGAAAAGCAATGAATAATTAAATATACAATTTTGCTAGGGAAAGTATTTTACACAACCACATTTCTGATATTTAGATGAGCCAGGCATGGTCTAGTTGCTGTAAGAACGCGCTCCGCCCTTTCAGGTCCTGGATACGCTAAAGAATGACGGCCCAGTCCCGCTATCTGGTCAGATTAGAATAGCACAATACATGACGGCGGTGCTGTTGACTAGCTTTCTTCCTCCTATTCAATCAGTTTAGAATTACAGACCGCTATGCGTATCTAGCCTTGTGTAAAACATTATACGACAATTTTAAAACAAAGACGTAATTACATTTTGTGTTGTTAAAGGCAGTTCTTAAAGGTTTATTGTACCTAAACATTTGGAGGTTGCATCTAAGGTATGTCCATACACACTGGAGAATTAGAGGTAAGATTTCGTCCTATACGTATATTAAGCTTTCACAGGAAATTGGAACTAGGATGGTAACAAGTTACAACAAAGAATTAATTCACATGTTGACCATTTCTAAGGGCACAGTTACAATACAATCTCATACATATTGTTTTTATTTTCAAGATGTTTTTCTAGCCTAATATTTATCAATGGATTGCATTCATATTAGAACTAACTCCATAAAGACATTAGACAGAAAAACATTCGGTACTGATCACATAACTTGTGTTTCGAGAAGTACTCAGTTCATCGGAGTTGAGCAATAAGTAAACTGAATCGAAAAATGTAATTTAATGAAATCAGTATATTGGTTTCGTTTGATGTTGTTGTTTGTTATTAAGCACAAAGCTACACAATGGGCTGTCTGTGCTCTGCCCAGCACGGTTATCGAAACCCGGTTTTTAGCGTTGTAAGTCTGAAGACATACCGCTGCGCCACTGGGGGGGGGGGGAGGTTCGTTTGAAGTAAACATGAAAGTTACCAACGTTCAGGCATACAGAAAATGTTCCAAGGACTTTTTTCATGTAAAGAGGAAAACCTTCGAGAGACCTCGTTTTCTGTAGAAAGGAAAGCTATAAAGTGTTCTATTTCAGACAATTAGAAAAGTTTCCAGATTTGGAAACCAGTTTTGAGGGAGTTAATTGTAAAATAATCATGATTTTGATACAGCAAATATAAATTTATAGATGTATGATTTTCAACGTTTCCAAAATATTTAAACAGAAATATGTGATCTGTACAGTATGTTAAATTGTTATAGTTCCGATCTATATATCTGAGACCAGAAGCTAGTAATAATGAGTGAGTAAAAGAAGACAGCAAAACAGAAGAATCTGTACAGATTTAAATACGAAGTAAAGTTCGACTTAATTGTATGTGGATACTCATGTATTGTGGGAAAATAAAAAGAGTGTAACACTATTAAGCCGCGTCATTTTTGAATTAACCTGCTCGTGTGTAGTCTTAGAATTTTCTGCATATAGATGGGTGTTTTGTTTTGTTTTCGTTTCCACAACAACTGTTATGGTGATACCCATTACTGACCCCTCTTTCAGGATAAGTTGTATTACCCAAAATTTGAATACATGTATCCTAACATAAATGATTAAATGGACCTATCGTCGATTAGTGGTCAGCGCGCTGAGCTACGGATCAAATAGTTTTAAGGTTTGCACTGCAATACAGCTAAGCATGCGCAGCAATTTCAGCTGTGGGTGAGTTATAAGAGTAACAGTCAATCCCATTATTCGGTTTGAAAATGTACAAAACCCTTGTGGCGGCAGGCACTGCTGACTGGCTGCCTTCGTTCTAGTCAGTAGTAGTAGAAAATTTTGGACAAATTTCTAAGTTGAATGGCTCGTGGTTTTTTGTTTGCTTTTATGCTGAGAAATACGGTCCTGATAGGCAAAACGGTAATTTCAAACATTAGATTCAGCAGCTGTATTGAAATAAATGCTCGCTTGGAAAGAAAATGACAACTCCTAAACACACTCTGCGTACCAGTTGAATCACACGACGCTTAGGTTTTCTTGACTTATTGTATTTATCTAATGCCTCGACTAAAGATTACGAAGCTTTTGTGTTTGGTGTGACGTAAAAAGACAATACGTATTATAAGCTTTAATAAGGCAGTATTGTTTAATTAAACTCATCTAACACAAAACAATTAAGATAGGAATACAGATCATATATACAGTTTTCATCATAAAGCAGCACTTTTGTTTTTTATTGACTGGAAAAACCAGTATCGAAAAAAAGTTTAAAATGTCCTTACGCTATACATTATGATCCAGAACATTTATTTAATTAAGTATCATGTTAGCTTCATAAAGTCAAGGTAACTATAATAAATGTTGTTTATAGTATATAAATACATTTATAGTAACGCATAAATATTTAATATACAAGATTTTAAGTACATATTATAAATATTTATTAAATAATGATTTTTATTTTATATATTTTTTCTCGATGTTTTATTTTAAATTCTTGTATATACTGTAAATATATTTTAAAATTCATAAGTATTAGTTATTCTTTTGTTCAAGCCGATTGAATTTATATATTTATATATACATTGACAGACCAATATATAGTGATCTTAGTTTATTTGTTATATCATTACAAAGTTTCGATATTTGATGCAAATAAGATTTTTCTAAATATTCCTTTTTTTTTTACTTTAGGAATTAGTAAATTCCCAAGCTCTTGTTTCATATGGTGATGCCCCCTAGTGGCACAGCGGTATGTCTGCGAACTTACAACGCTAGAATCCGGGTTTCGATACCGGATTTTTATACTTTATAAATATAAAATTTATGTAATTTTGTTTGTTTGTTTGTTTGAAGTTAAGCACAAAGCTACACAATGGGTTATCTGTGATCTGCGCACCACACGTATCGAAACCTGGTTTCTAGCATTGTAAATCCGCAGACATACCGCTGTGTCACTAGGAAGCAATTTATGTAATGGTAATATACTTAATTTTTTAAATTTAATTTTCTATTATTATACTTTGATAGCGATAACATACTCCTTATCATATCCCCACAGCGGCTCAGCAGAAAGTCTGAGGGACGCTCATCACTAAAAACCAGGTTTTGATCCTTGTAGTAAGCACAACACAGAAAACCAATTGTGTAACTTTGTGCTTAACAACAAAAAGCCATATAATATTTTTGTAACTGTACTATGATTCTTAAATTATTAAATCTTAATACACATTTTAATTTATTTTCCATTGCTTTAATTAGTTCTTTCCAATTAAGTTTATAATATATTGTTATTCCAAGATATTGAAAACATTCTAATTTTTTTTAAAAGTAGACTTAATGTTTTTACCACCTTATATTTACAGTTGTTATAATATATTGGATTATTTTCAATTATTTTGTTTTCATTTTTTTACACCTCCTGTATCTACAAATTAGGTACGCTCATGTTGGTAAACAAATGACCCATTGCGGAAATATGTTTTTTCGGTTTCCTTTTTTTGAGCAATATCAAAAAAAAGCCGACTATTTGACCTATTTTTAGCTTCAGTGCTCCAAATCGATGGACTCTAAGTTGCTGACGATTGCCTCAACGACTGTCTAAAAACGTAAAATTCTATCTCAAAATCGAACCTTTATCTTGCAAATTTAAAAGCCTAGATGTTTAAAATACTTAGCATGCTCTCATTTTGGCTTGGAGTGTAATGGAT